TTGGGGACTGAAGGGTCCCGGGTTTGATTCCGGTCAAGGGCATGTACCTTGGTTGCGGGCATATCCCCAGTAGGGGGTGTGCAAGAGGCAGCTGATCGATGACTCTCTCATCAATGTTTCTAACTCTATATCTCTCTACCTTCCTCTCTGTACAAAAATCAATAAAATATTAAAAAAAAAAAAAAAAGATCTGTTGCTAAACAGTGTATTTAATTTTGGTATAACCATAAGCAGCTAGTAGATGAAAGTCATGAAAGTAGGAGTGAAAAGATTTTTATGCCTCAGTGACACATTATATAAACAGTTCTCTATTCACCCATCATGAAATAGCAGTATAACCTATCCATCTCTATGTATTAAGTGTATACTGCTCAAAAGCAGCATATTCAGATACCAAAGTGAAGAAATCTCACAATGAACAGTTGCAACACCAAGCTCTACTGTTTATCAGCCTTTGGGCAAGTGAGTCCTCTTAAACCTCAGTTTACTCACCTTAGAAAACAAAAACAAAAAACAAAACAAACAAAAAACACGAAGACAACTGCCATGCCTAGATTGTGCTTAATCCACTCAATAAATATGTATTGTGCCAAGCAATATACTGGGTGCTGAGGATATATACAATAGTGAACAAACCCGAGAAGAATCCTCGCCTTAAGAGTTTTATATTCCAGTAAAGGTGAATCACAAGCAATTTGAACATCCAAAGCAGTAAATGAGCTACCGCTCTATGGGACGAAAGGTATGCTCAAGCGCTCTACTAACAGGTGTATTAAAGACCATGTAAGATAATGTGCAAACTGAACAGGCAGTGGGCAACAATCAAAAGTTTCACAGTCGCTAGCTTTGACACTCATCAAATGTGGAATAACCTAGTGGGGCGGGGTGTTTGCTGTGAGGAGGAAGGAGAAGGCGGCGGAATGATGTCTGAATGAGCAGGTAGCAGAATCCAGGCTTCTGAAGGGTTCCCTTACGCCTTGCTCTTCACTACAACCCGTCACCCGCCCGACCCCCACCCCCAGCCCCATCCTTCGCTCCCTCCGTCCCTCCGGCCGGTCCCCGACCCAGCTGGTTCTGCCCACACTCCTTATTCCTGAGCCAGTCTCCCGAGCCCGTCTCCTTCCCGCCCCCGCCCTTTCCCCCAACAATCCCATTCTAGCCCGTTCTCCCGCACAGCCCGGCTCCTCTCTCGGCTGCCTTCCCTCGGAACCTTCCCGCTTCGTTCCTCCTCTCGGACTGAGCCCGGGCCCCCGGCGCTTGGACTGGGCGGGGGGACAAGCCCTGTGGGCCCGGGGCCACTACTCACCTCACAAACTTCAGCCCCTGAGACGGAGCCCGAACGTTACACCGGAACCGGAAACCCTCCGACTGCCCGACGTTCTGCCGTCGCTACCGCCACGGGGGCCTCCACGCCGCGGTCCTCCACCACGTGACGGGGGAGGGCCGGCCTTCCCCTCGCGCAGCCGCAGTAGCCACCGGCTCGGCGGCGGGGCGCACGCGCAGCGGAGCCCTGAAGGTGCGCCGCGCCGTGTCCCAGCCGGCTGCCGTTTCCCCGCCAACTCCATTCAAGTGGATTACTGGCAGGTTCATTTTGCTGAAAGCAGAAATTGGGCCGCTCGCAGCGTTCCTGGGGTGGAGAATAAGTCAAGTTATGCTAAAACTAAAGGCCTTTCTGGCCGGGACCGGTTTGGCTCAATGGATAGAGCGTCGGCTTGGGGACTGAAGGGTCCCGGGTTCGATTCCGGTCAAGGGCATGTACCTTGGTTGCGGGCATATCCCCAGTAGGGGTGTGCAAGAGGCAGCTGATCGATGACTCTCATCGATGTTTCTGACTCTCTATCTCTCTTCCTTTCTCTCTGTATAAAAATCAATAAAATACATATATATTTTTTTTAAAAAGCCTTTCTGGTAGAAAGTCAACTCCTGGGAAGAAGAGAGTCGACATGACTAGTGTTAGCCACGTCTCCTTAAGCTTTCTCTCTTGGTTAGATTAACAGCGGCGCCAGAGACCAACCACCCAGGGGGGAAAAAGGCGAGTATAGGACTCTGAAGAGAGTAGCGCTACCACATTTTATTATTTCATTCAATCATTGATGGGACAAATGGACTGCCTACTAGAATGTGCCGGGAATCCTCTGAGAATCATCAAGATTGCTTAACGGTTAAGGAAGACATGAGCTTTAACGCTCGACTACTTAGATTCGTATTCCAGTTCCCCCACTCATTAGTTGTAACATTAGGCAAACTACTTAAGCCCGCTACTATTTCCTCACCTGTAAAAAAAAAAAAAAAATCCTTCTCATTGTGCTGCTGTGAGTGACTAAGGAAAATGTACTTAAAACAGTGCTTCTCAAGAAAGCTACATGATACATAACATACATGTGTAATAGACATGTTATAGATGTTTTATATATTACTTATATCTACGATATAGCTGTAAACAATTTATACAATGAAAACTCAATTGATTCCTCCCCCACAAAAAAGAAAACACACTCCAGCTCCCAATACCGTCTTCCTCATCTCAGTTAGTGGCAACTCTATTCTTTTTTTTAATTAAATATGTTTTATTGATTTTTTACAGAGAGGAAGGAAGAGGGATAGTTAGAAACATCGATGAGAGAGAAACATTAATCAGCTGCCTTCTGCACACCTCCTACTGGGGATGTGCCCCCAGTACATGCCCTTGACCAGAATCGAACCTGGGACCCTTCAGTCCAAAGACCGATCCTCTATCCACTGAGCCAAACCGGTTTCGGCCTACATTGCTATTCATCTAGATATTTATATAGCTTGGTCTCTCATCTCTTCAGCATTTTATTCAAATGTAACTGCAGGAATGCCTTCCTTAATTACCCTATTTAATTCTGAAGACTGGCACTTTTTTCTTTAATACTTCTATTGATTTCAGACAGGGAGAGACAGAAATGTCAATGATGAGAGAGAATCATCTATTAGCTGTCTCCTGCACACCCCCACTTGGAATCAAGCCCACAACCCAGGTAAGTGCCTGGACCAGAATTGAACCCTGACTTCCTGATTCATAAATCAACAATGAACCATTGAGCCATGCTGGCCAGGCCTGTTTGGTACTATTGATTCTGCACACTCCCTCTGGGGATGTGCCTACAACCAAGGTATATACTCTTGACTGGAATTAAACCTGGGACCCTTCAGTCCACAGACTGACACTCTATCCACTGAGCCTAACCAGTTAGGGCCATAAAACCTTCAGAAGAAAATCTTCATGACATTGAATTTGGCAAGAATTTCTTGGATAAGACACCAAAATTACAAGCAACAAAAGAAAAATATATAAATTAGCTCAGCTGTCATAGCTGAGTGGTTGATCTATGAACCAGGAGGTCACTGTTCAATTCCTGGTTAGGGCATATGTCTGGCTTGCAGACTCATTCCCCAGTGTGGAGTGTGCAGGAGATAGCCTATCAATGATTCTCTCTCATCATTAATGTTTCTACCTCTCTCTCCCTCCACTTCCTCTCTGAAATCAATAAAAAATAAAATAATAAACATTCCACCCCTCAACTTATGCAATATTTAAAAAAAAAAAAAGGTAAATTGGACTTCATCTAAATTAAAAACATTTGTGCATCAAAGGACACTATTAAAAAAAAAAGACAATCCACAGGATGGGAGAAAATACTTGCAAGTCATACATATATCCTATATAATAAAAGGCTAATATGCAAATTGTCCCCTCAACAAGTAGCAGGCCAGCCAACCGCCCATGTCCCCTCTCCCTGGCCAGGCTGGCTGGACCCCACCCATGCACAAATTCATGCACTGGGCCTCTAATATACATATACATATACATATACATACACACACACACACACACACACACACAGAGTGGTGGCTAAGTTGTTATGTGTTTAGAGATCATAATAATCTGACTACTCAGTGTAATCAAGCCTTGAAAGGCAAGGAACTATGGCTTCAGCATATCTTCTAGCAGGCCTGCTTAATCAATAAGTGTGGTATTTGTGAAAGGGAGAAAAGATAGTGAAAAGAAAATTAAGGTCAGAGCCAAAACCGGTTTGGCTCAATGGATGGAGCGTCAGCCTGCGGACTAAAGGGTCCCAGGTTCTATTCCGGTCAAGGACATGTATGTACCTTGGTTACGGGCACATCCCCAGTAGGGGGTGGGCAAGAAGCTGCTGGTCGATGATTCTCTCTCATCGATGTTTCTAACTCTCTCTCTCTACCTCTCTGTAAAAAATCAGTAAAATATATTTAAAAAAAAAAAAATTAAGGTCAGAAATCTGAAGCCTACACTACATCACCACAAGGGGGCAATGTTTGAACACTAGCAATATGGAGAGGTGTGTGTAGAAGAGTGGTGGCAATCTGGTGTTTACTTTTTTTTAAACACAATGTTGAGAGCTGCCACTTGGTTGAGCTTCTGCCTACCCTCTACTGTTCTCCTACAAGGGGTTGGCATCAACTCTCCTTGTATCAGCAGCACGGATGTCAGGGGAACAAGACAAGAGGAGAGGAAGCAGAGTAGCTGCTTTTCCCAGAGATCAGATACCCCCCGCCCTATTAACTGAAAATCCGTTCTTTTTGTCATCCTGCAATATGCATTACCTCATCTCTAATTCAGGATGTTTTACATATTTCAATCCCCCTTTCTACCTCAAAATCTCTCCTGTATGCAGGATTATGTAACTATGCAACCATCATCCATCTCCAGAACTTTTTCATCTTCCCAAATTCAAACTTTTTACCCATTGAACAATAACTTTCCAATCCCCCCTCCCAACCAGCCCCTCTATTCCTAGACTACTTTTTGACTCTGTTTCTCTTTCACTTAATAGAAGAGAGGGTCCATTGCTGACTAGAGGATTATTTCAATATACACAGGCCTTCTTGTATATATATATAATTGAGTTTATTGCAAGAAATAGGGTTGCAGAAAGAAAAGAGATGGAGATACAACCAGACAGGTATTTTCCCACTGGGCCTACTATCCACAGGCCTTAGCAGCCTTGCCATGGATCTGCCCGATTCTTTCGCATCAAAAAGTTGATCTTGCGAGTCATTTCCATGTTGTAGATCCTCCGGCAGGTTTCATAGCTCTCCCTCTGTCGTCTGCGGCAAGGCTTCTCATAGTACCGGCGTCGCTTGATATCCTCAATGAGCCCATCCATGGAGAGGATTCTGTATTAAGGCAGGCAATGAAGTTAGAAGCTTGGACTCTTATTCCTTTTCAATTTTACAGAGGCCAGAAGTCAACTGACCAAACAACTGATGTCTGTAAAAAATTAGGGCCCAGCCGGAGTGGGCCAGTGTTTGGGCATCGACCCATGAACCTAGAGGTCACCATTCGATTCCCAGTCAGGGCACATGCCTGGATTGTGGGCTTGATCCCTAGTGGGGGGAGTGCAGGAGGCAGCCGCTCAATGTTTCTCTCTCGTCAATGTTTCTATCTCTCTATCCCTCTCTCTTCCTCTCTAACAAAAATTAGGGTGTAAAATGGTGGCAATACAGCATTAACTGCCTACATATAGAGACCCCATCAATAGGAATTTAGGGGAATAAAAAAGCAATTAATTACACAATCATTTACTTTTTTGAAGATCTATTTAGCAACTATTTCATTCTGTCCTTCCATTAGTTACTTATACAAAATATTTCCCTTATAGACTGAAAATCCTCAAAGGTAGAAACCACATTTTATTAATCTCTAAGTGTCCATAAAACTGAGCTCAAGCTGTTCCCCTTCCTCCCCATCCCCCAGGATTCCTTGCAATGCAGCTTCTCCTGCTGGATTTATAACATGCCTAACTCAAACTCACCTCTTTGTTTGCACTGAGCCACGAACACATGGGGCTTTATTCTATAACCTACCTAACCCTATGCTCCTGAGAGCTCAAGCTGTAATTTGTGTCTCCCTCTCAACCCATCATCAGTTGATCCTGAGGAGACCTGGAGGCACCTGCTGCTGTTGCCCTCCATTCCTGGCATTGTTTGAATGGTTCCATTCCCGCCTTCCCTGCTCTTTCATTACATGTAAGAAGTCATAAACACAATTGAGACATGGCTACTATAATTAGAAGGAGGAAGGCCCAGGAAGAAGTTAGTAAGAATAAGAGAAACCACCAGATACTCTGCCCAGTGGGAAACCCTATTTACTGCTGCTATGTTATATTACAAAACCCAATATAACAACTGATTGAACAGGAGCTTGAAAAGATTTGAGCTTTGGGTAAATTACAAATGTGAACAGATATGAGAACCACTGTACCTATGGGATCCTTTCCCAGCCTCTTGCTGTTTAATGTCGAGAATGATTTGTAGACTAGTAGAGAATCATATTTGGATTGCAAGTTCAATCCCAGGCCCCAATGGGGGTGAATGCAGGAGGCAATCAATGTGTCTTTCCTACATCGATGTTTCTCTCTCTCTAAAATCAATCAATAAATGTTAAAAATCTCTCCTAGTATACAATAGCTTAAGCCAGTGGTTCCCAGTCTTGTCTGCATATTATAATCACCTGGGGATATTTTCTTTTATTTTTTAAAATGTTTTTATTTATTTGAGACAGAGAGGAAGGGAGAAACAGAGAGAGAGAGAAACATCAGCTGGTTGCTTCCCATAACTCACACCAACTGGGAACTGAACCTGCCACCTGGGCATGTGCCCTGACTGAGCATTGAACCAGTGACCTTTCAGTGCATGGGACAATACTCAACCAATTAAACCATACCAGACAGGGCCAGCTGGGGATGTTTTTATTTTATTTTTATTTTAATATATTTTTTATTGATTTTTTACAGAGAGGAAGGGAGAGAGAAACATCGACCAGTTGCCTCTTGCACACCCCCTACTGGGGATGTGCCCGCAACCAAGGTAGATAGATGCCTTTGACCAGGATCGAACCTGGGACCTTTCAGTCTGCAAGCCGACGCTCTATCCACTGAGCCAAACTGGTTTTGGCATGTTGTTATTTTGTTATCAACTCTCTTACTGGTGTGTGCTTCTTAAGGTTAAGGATTAAGCTTTTATCAGTAAATATGACAAAGATGAATCCTCTAGGCCCGTGGTCGACAAACTGCGGCTCACTAGCCACATGCGGCTCTTTGGCCCCTTGAGTGTGGCTCTTCCACAAAATACTACAGCCTGGGCGAGTCTATTTTTAAGAAGTGGTATTAGAAGAAGTTTAAGTTTAAAAAAATTGGCTCTCAAAAGAAATTTCAATCGTTGTACTATTGGTATTTGGCTCTGTTGACTAATGAGTTTGCCGACCACTGGCCTAGGTGACTGACAAATGTCCACAGCTCAAGGGATTGACTTTATAATAGACACAGTTCTTGGAAATGTTGACTCAGAAAGCCTCAATGATATTATCGTTGCTAAGACAGCACATGAGATTTTAAATAACGGAAGTTCAGAGAGGCTAATCTGCCCAAAGATCACAGGATACACCTACAAGTGAATTCAGTCTTTAGTGCTGTGCTCCACAACAGCCTTCTGCTTCTCAAGCAAAAACCACTGAGGTTCAGGAGACAAGCTGCAGTGCTCATGAGCAAAGGAAAGAAGGAAGGAGGAAAGAGCTGGGCTAGATCCTTAATTAAAGAGATGTAAGCCAGGGCATGGCACACTGAGGGACAGAAATGATGGCAACACCTAAGCATGACTTCGTTTTTCACTGCCGTTTGATGAAGGCCGCTTTTTTGACTGGGCACTAGTATATTAGAGGGGAAAAAAAAAAGGAAGAAGTCCCCGAGAAAAAAAAAACTAGAGATATAATATAAAAAGGATAAGGAGACTGGATTTGAAGATAGACTATAAGAAGAACAGGGATCCTGGATATGACTTCACCTTGGAAGAGAACCCTACTGGAATGACAGTTTAAAAGGAAGGTGGAAGCTGAAGTCGGTTTGGCTCAGTGGTAGAGCGTCAGTCTGTGGACTGAGGGATCCCGGGTTCGATATCGGGCAAGGGCATGTACATTGGTTGCGGGCACATCCCTGATGGGGGGTGTGCAGGAGGCAGCTGGTCGATGTTTCTCTCTCATCGACATTTCTGGCTCTCTGTCTCTCTCCCTTCCTCTCTGTAGGAAATCAATAGAATGTATTTTAAAAATAAATAAATAAATAAATAAATAAATAAATAAATAAATAAATAAAATAAAATAAAATAAAATAAAAGGGGGTTGGAAGAAAATGGGAAAGGGAGGAGAGAGTTTAGACACACTCGGGTATCCTACCGGAGTTTCAAAAGGGGTTTGAAACCGAAGTGGCCATCTTGCCAAGTAAATGCCTGTGTGGTGAGGCCAAAAAGTGAGATATGAAGGAAACTAACAGAAGAATATGAGGATGGAGAAGGGGCAAGAACAAAAAACTCGGTGGCCCACAACATAATTAGGGGATTGCTAATAGTTTTCCCGGGACTCTTCCAACTAATTCCTGAACACAGACCAAATAAGTTCCAAGATTCCAGGTGCAGATTCCCTCCCTTACTCTGTACTTTTCAGTTATAGTAAAAAAAAAGTACAGATTATCTTCAAATGGTCCCGAGTCCCTACCCTAGAGGCATCTACTCAATTTATTTCTAACAGAAAGGATACAGGAAGAGTTTTGCAGAACTCATGGAGTAAAGAGACGGTGTTACTGAAGGTGTTTCTGCTTCCAGAGGTAGGTCAAGGACTAGAAGACCAACAGCTTTAGTGTAAACAGATTGGCCTTGAGTTCAGGCGCCTGCCAACCTAATAATGAAGGAGAAATCAGCTGCCAGTTTTAGTGAAATTCAAGGGATTATGTAAAAGGAGCTGGGGGGGGGCCTGGAAGTGGCAGGCTCACATGTTCATGTAGCTAGCCTACGTCAGGACCGAAGTGTAGGCAGAAGGACTCAATAGGCCCAAAAACTTGCCCACCAGAAATAAAAGGGATCATCCAGGCATGAGTCCAGTGTGCTTGCTGCTCCTCGCTTGGGGTCAGCCAATCATGCAGGGCCTCCTAGCAACCCCCACTCTCTGTCTCCTCATCCCAGGGCACCCATGAGGGCCCTTGGTTATATAATTAACATTTACTGAGGTCTAACGAGGCCGACACATAGGCTGTTTCCTTTGTAAGACCACTTCTACAAAACATGCCAAGTTTTAATCACCTCCCTCTCCTCTTGTTTGCTCCCCATCTACTGTTGTAATTAGACCATAGAACATGCAACTTATTTTTTTTTTTTTACTTTTTTAACTTTTATTATGCATTACATAACACACTGCATAACCTTCTAGCAAGGGTAGATGAGCAAAACTGAGTTATTTTTCATTAATCAGGAAGTGCTTCCTTAATCAATATTCTCCAAACCCTTTGACTCATAGTAACGATTAACTCCAGAGACACGAACGATTAACTCCAGAGACACGCTTATCTCTTTCCATCAAAGACCAGTGATATGAATAATAAGCAACCCTTTTTTCCTTGCCACCGTTGCTGAAGCGGTGGATGTGCGCGGTGGCGATGCCGGGGATGAGCAGGCACACGCCCATGACCGCGAGCCCGGGCAGAATCTCGAACCACATCGCGGCAAGGTTGGCAAGGCCAGAAAAATCCATGCAACTTATTTTTAAACTACCAACTATCAGAAAGCTGAGAGAGATAAGAAGCCTGGGATGTAATAGATATATATATAGAAAAGGTGGCCAGAGAGAGAATATTGGGGGGGGGGGGGGGGGAGTGTATCAGCTGCAATCAGTTTGGCTCAGTGGATAGAGCGTCAGCCTGCGGACTAAAGGGTCCCGGGTTCGATTCCGGTCAAGAGCATGTACCTTAGTTGCGAGCACATCTCCAGTGTGTGTGTGTGTGTGTGTGTGTGTGTGTAGGAGGCAGCTGGTCGATGTTCCTCTCTCATCGATGTTTCTAACTCTCTATCCCTCTCTCTTCCTCTCTGTAAAAAACCAATAAAATATATATATATTTTTTAAAAGAGAAGAGCGTATCAGAAAACACTATGTCTCACAGACAGAAGACTGGGACATTCCAGCACCAGCTAGCTCAGATCTGCATGCTTAAAACACTTTGCCTAGAAAATTATTCTAAGAACAAAATAATATAAAGAATCACTATTTCTTGAGACTAAAATGCAATTATGGGATATATATATATCTAACACTTCACGGTAAAAAGAGAAATGCAGCTTCCTAAAATCTAAAATGACAAAATAACACTTTTCATCTCTTGCTTGCTTCTCCAAGATCCCACCTCTGACTTCATCTTTTCCATTAGCTTTGTCCCACACCGTTCCCTCCCTAAGCGTTCTATAAATCATGTACTATCTTCCTGCTTCCCGGAAACTTTATAACTTGATGTTCCCTTTGGGCTGTGTTTGAGGTCTTGGATAGAATTCCGGTTCGGAGGGGCTGGGAAGTTTCAAGATTGTGAACACCTGGGCTGGCACTGGTCTGAGAACAATGCGTGACATGGGAAGGGAAAGGACAACCACTGCACTTCTCCCAGGAGTCGGTCTGGGCATGATTTTGTCCTTTAACACTTACCTGTTTAGGGTCCTGTAGGCACCTTCCACGTTCCCTTCCTGCACCATCACAGTCCTGGCAATGAACTTCAAGTGTCTTGCCATGACCTTGGAATTAAGCCTTCACTCTCTGGGACCTAAAGGCTGATGGAAAAAAAGGGGAAGAAAATAGATATCAGGGATGCCGAGACCGGTTTGGCGCGGTGAATAGAGCATCAGCCTGCAGACTGAAAGGTCCCAGGTTCGATTCCGGTCAAGGGCATGTACTTTGGTTGCTGACACATCACCCAGTAGGAGGTGTGCAGGAGGCAGCTGATCAATGATTCTCTCTCATCGATGTTTCTAACTCTCTATCCCTCTCCCTTCCTCTCTGTTAAAAATCAATGAAATATATATTTAAAAAATACATATATAGATACCAGGGAAGAGAAACACAACAGAATGCACGCTCTACCGCATGGCTTATTCAGGGTCTGGATATGCCACGCTCAAGAATAAATGAGAGCCCAAACCCGTTTGGCTCAGTGGTAGAGAGTCAGCCTGCGGACTGAAAGGTTCCAGGTTTGATTCCGGTCAAGGGCATGTACCTTGGTTGCGGGCACATCCCCAGTAGGGGTTGTGCAAGAGGCAGCTGATCGATGTTTCTGATCGATGTTTCTAACTCTCTATCAGTCTCCCTTTTTCTCTGTAAAAAAATCAATAAAACATATAAAAAAAAAAAAAAAAAAAAAAGAGAGAGGGCACATGCAAGTTCTCCTAGTTTACAAATGAACGCGAGTGCTTATCAAGACTCCCTCGTTCTGCCCTGGCCAGTTTGGCTCCCGGGATTGGTTTGGGTCAAGGGCATGTACTTTGGTTGAGGGCACGTTCCCAGTTGGGGGGTGTGCATGAGGCAGCTAATTGACGTTTCTCGCTCATCAATATTCCTATCCCTCTCACTTATTCTCTGTGAAAAATCAATAATATATCTATATCTATATATATATATATATATTTATTTTTTTTTTTTAAAGACTCCCTCGTTCTTTCTGCCAGTACAAACCCTAGCACAGGGAAGCAAAGCGATGGTAGCCAGGCGTCACCACGGAGATTTACGTGGCCCGTTACCAGAGGACACCCCGCGCCGCACACGCCACCCCACGCCCGCACGCCCGCCCGCCCGCGGCTTCCGGGGGGCTGGGGTGGGACTGTGTTGGGGCCTCTCTCGGTCTTTGTTAGGAAAGGGGTCCGCCGCGCGCCCACGTGCCTCCCCGGCCCCCGCCTTCCGGTCCCACGCCCAGCACGGACTCCTCACCCCGCGCCCACGAGACCGAGCCGACGCGAGCCGTTCGTAACCGGAAGCGGAAGTGCGTAATCCCGGCGCCGCGCAAAGAAACCGAGGCCGGAGGGAGGGGCGGGGAACCTACGCGGAAACCATGGCAACGTTCTCTCTCGCCTGGGTGGCGGGTTTCTCCTGAGGTCAACACCAGACCCTCCGGCCCGACTCTACGGCCGGACAAAGCCAAGTACCCGTTGCCTTAAATTCCCCTTTAACACGTTCCTCGCCTTCTCCTTAGAGTCGTGGTCCTAAGGCTCCTGATATCAGCCCGATTCCTTACCTTTAAAACGGTGAAATCTTTACTAGGTACGCAAGCCATGAATTCTTCCCTCCCTCCCTCCCTTCCTCCTCCTCCTCCTCCTCCTCCTCCTCCTCCTCCTCCTCCTCCTCCTCCTCCTCCTCCTTCTTCTTCTTCTTCTTCTTCTTCTTCTCTCTCTCTCTCTCTCTCCCTCTCTCTCTCTCTCTCTCTCTCTCTCTCTCTTTCTCTCTCTCTCTTCCTTCTTCCCTCCCTCCTTCCCTCTACTCTACCCTCTCCGGATGAAAAACAGCGTCCCATCCTTCATCTGCCTAAAAGCCGGTCTGAAAAGAAGCGACATGAACATATCAAGAGTTTCCTATAACATCATCTTGCCAGCCGCGTCACTAAATAAAGAACTGGGTGGAAGACTTTTTTTAAAAAAAAAATATATTTTATTGATTTTTTAGAAACATGATGAATGAGTCATCAACCAGCTGCCTCTTGCACACCCCCTACTGGGGATGTGCCCGCAACCAAGATACATGCCCTTGACCAGAATCGAACCTGGGATCCTTCAGTGCACAGGCTGATGCTCTATCCACTGAGCCAAACCGGTTTCGTCAGAACAGAATATTTTTAAAGAAAATATAATATTTGTATTGGTGAGCATTAGAAAAAACACCAGACTATAAACCAATTGCACCTGAATTTTTTTTTTATCTATAAAACGAAGGGGTTTGATCAGATACAGATGGTACCTCTTGGATATAAAATGCTGAAATGTTTAATAAGTTTTAAGTGTTAGTAATATGTAAATAGAACTCTCCAGCAGGAACGTAGATATTCATTATGTCATCTCTCAGGCGAAAGATTGAGGCTGGAGATGAAGTTTTTGCAGTCTTCTAAAATTGAGGCAATACTTACAGCCACAAGAAGAAACTTTGGTGAAAAGATGTTGTCAGAGAAGAATAAAGAGCCAATGTATGAGCCTAGGGGAACACCCACACTCTGGAATTGGCAGAAGTGGCGCCATTTAGAGTTATAGAAGTTGTTGCCAGATAGGTAAGAGGAGAATCAGGCTAGTGTGCTGTCATGGGATCTGAGGAAGGAGGGTTTCAGTAGACAGCATCAAGAGTGTCAAATGCTACAGGGAGCATGAACTACATAGCCTTTGTAAAGGCCCCCTGAATCTAGCTATTGATTGGGTGGAAGCTGCACTGTAATACTCTGGTTCTGTGCTCATTAGTGACTTGGGAAGGTGCAGTAGAGTGTTAGTGGAAGCTAGCCTACAAGAGGTTAAGGACTGACTGGTAGGAGGGAGTCAGAAAGTACGATTAGACTACTCTGTCAAGATGTACGGGGGCTGAAACCGGTTTGGCTCAGTGGATAGAGCGTCAGCCTGCGGACTGAAAGGTCCCAGGTTTGATTCCGGTCAAGGGCATGTACCTTGGTTGCGGGCACATCCCCAGCAGGGAGAGTGCAAGAGGCAGCTGATCGACGATTCTCTCTCATCGATGTTTCTAACTCTCTATCCCTTTCTCGTCCTCTCTGTAAAAAAATATGCTAAAAAAAAGAAAAAGAAAAAGATATATGGTGAAGCCCTAATCGTTTTGGTTTGGTGGATGGAGCGTCGGCCTGCTGACTCGGGGAGTCCCAGGTTTGATTTCGGTCAAGGGTATGTACCTTGATTGTGGGCACAACCCCAGTGGGGAGTCTATAGGAAGCAGCTGATGGATATTTCTCTCTCACCAATGTCTCTGGCTCTCTATTCCTTCCTCTCTGTAAAATATTTAAAAAATAATTTAAAAAAAAAAGAAGTATGGGGGAAAAACACAAGACAATCAGGCTCGAGAGAGTTTTTCAAGAAGGGGCAACCTGATCAAGCTTATAAGAGAGTCTGAACAGTGTGGCACAGTGGATTGCCCCATGTACCAAGGAGTCACAAGTCGATCCCCAGTGGGGGGAGGGGGCATGTGGGAGGCAGCTGATTGATGTCTCTCTCTCACTGATCTCTCTCTCTCTCTCTCTCTCTCTCTCTCTCTCTCTCTTTCTCTCTCTCTCTCTCTCTCTCTCTCTCTCTCAAATCAAAGAAAAACATTAAAAAAAACACACACACAAAAAAAAAAACACCAAAGCCTTGCAGGATAAAAAATAAATAATTCAATAACAAATTGAAGTTACAAGAGAAAAAGATTAGAATAAGTGATACAGCAAACATTCTAAAAGTGAAAGGTAACCAAAAGCACAAATGGAGAGGTTTGCTTTAGAAAGGTCACGTTTTTTGAAATAAAAGGAAATGATTATTCACTGAGAAAAGGACTTGAGACACATGTAGGGGAAAGATATATAACTAGCTGTGAGGAACATACCCAGTAGCCAATAAACAATAACTAAGATGACGGTGCAGTCAATATACTGTCAAGACTTAGAATGGGAGAGGATATGGCTTTGGTGGAAAGTGAGACAAATTAGGAAGAGCACTATACAGAGTAGATAATAGGCAACATCACGGACTTCATTTTTGCCATCTGAGAACACTGGGTAGGTAGCCTTCCTTACTCCAACATACAGAGGTGGGCAAGAGTAGATTGATACTTGTTTATAATAACTAATAGAAGAATTAATAATAATACAATAAACTGTTTCCCATACTTACAATTGTAAACCTACTTTTGCCCACCCCTTTACATTTAGCAGCTGCAGCTTTTTTATTAAAGACTAGAGGCCCAGGGCACAAAATTCGTGGTGAGGGGGCCTCCTCAGCCCAGCCTGCACCCTCTCCAATCCAGGACTGGCTCCTAACTGCTTACCTGATTGCCTCTAATTGCCCCCCCTGCTGACCTGGTCACTCCCAATCCCCCCCCCCCCCCCATTGGCCTAGTCACCTCAACTGCCCCCCCTGCTGGCCTGGTTGCCCCCAAATGTCTCCCCTGCCCACCTGGTCACCCCACACAGCCTGTTTGTTCATTTGGTTGTAATGGTTGCTTAGGCTTTTATATATATAGATGCGGCCCAGTGTTTCAGGGCATTCCCCATTCTAACAACTCTAGGGCACTCCTCTTCAAAACTGGCTATCACAGTGCCTGTTCTGGTTCTATGTCCCGCCTCTGGCAGCAGATTACATATCATTTTTCCACAAGAATCAACAGCTCCCATCAAGGCAAAGAGCTATTGCAAAGCAGAAGAACCTGCTAATCTGGGCCAGCTGGATGATTACAAGAGGGAAAGACACAAAGGGAAAGGTACTATTCTTCGAGCCTGAATGAAAATAAAAAAAGCCAACTCTGAGCCCTCTAACTGTCTCCAGGCCGTTCCCCAGGAAGCCAGCAGCAGAGACCCTCTTCCTTTCCCACAGGACGTGCATTGTCCCATCCAAACTTCCCACTCTGGTGGAGCTCAACTTCACAAACCTGCCTATCCCCTTTGTTCTTTTCTGCAGCATTGAGGATAAACATTGGTATTTGAAACAGAAGGTTTCATTCTCCCCCTTCCCCCCAATCAGCAAACTGTTTAGGTATAAAATGTCTTTAATCAGAAAGGATTTCTCTTCTCTCAACACAAACACACACATTAAAAGTAACACACACACACACACACACACACATTAGAAACTACAGTTTCAAGTCTTGGATTAGGGGTTGAGAGGATGAACATCAGGAACAACTGGAGGGTGGCTTATCGTCTGTTCTAGGTGTCCCACAGTCTTTTCTCTGGCCATGGTGGGAAGATCACGAGGGGATAGGGGACAGCTCCAGTCTGACTGCAGAGTCACTGGCAAACTTTGGCAACGAGGTCTCTCTCCAGATAGTTTCTTAGGATAGCCGGGGATTGCAGGAGATGCGGTAGCAGGTGGAGCTGGACTGGTTGGGGCAGAGTGGGTAAAAGGCTGCTCTCCGTGCTGAAGGAAAAAGATAACACCGATGCTGGTTCCAGTGCCTAAAGGACCGTGGCTAAAGGAGACAGTACTTGGAGCACTGAGAGGGGGGTTGCAAATTGGAGTGGTGTGAATCCAAGTGAGGTTCATAGCTGGCCACTGAGCGAGGTGCCAAGGCTGCTTTGGTTTTAATGCTAAATGTCCTAGCTGTGTCTGTTCCATCTTTTCCAAGGAAGGTGCAGGAGAGGAAGCAGCTGGGTAACCGTGGTGGCTTAGAAAATGCTAGGGAAGGTGAGAGGAAAAAAAAAAGAGATTATGAGAAAACTTTCGGATGAACTCTACCTGGTTACTTAAACCTTTGCTTTCCTTAGGAAGTGTTTGCAAAGCAAACGTACCTTGTTTTGTGCAACAGATAATTTCCTGCCATGTCATAATTAAGTAAAAGTTTTAGTAACCAAATTATATTTTCATTTACTCAACGAATACTTGAGGGCCCACACACTATATCAGGCACTGAATATTCAGACATATACAAAATAAAAGTTCTATGGGTTCTTATTACTTATAATTCATTTTTTAATTTCTTTTCATTGGAATCATCATTTCCCATTTCTGTATTTTAAATTCTAATGTCCTATGTTGAGTGCCTTAAGAAGTATAAATTAATATGCAAACAAGATCTTCCTGCTTACTTTTAAAATTTTATTTCTAAATTCCAATTTACTTTCAACTCTATTTTGTATTAGTTTTAGGTGTATTATGTTACATAGTTACAGTTATTGCAATACTATTGGCTATATTCCCTATGCTGTACTTCACATGTCCTAGACTATTTCATAACTACCCATGTGTACTTCTTAATCCCTTCACCTTTTCATCCAGTTCTCCAGCCCTTTCCCCTCTGGCAACCATTGGTTTGTTCTCTGTCTCTATGAGCCTGTTTCTGTTTTGTTTGTTAATTTCATTCTTTAGATTACACATATAAGTGAAATCCTATAATATTTGTCTTTCTCTGAATGATTTATTTCACTTAGCATAATACCCTTTAGGGCCATCCATACTGTTGGAAATGGTAAGATTTCATTGCTTTCCTCTCAGTTGTTTTTAATAGTTTTTAAAATTTAATTGATTTTAGAGAGAGGGAATGAGAAAGAGAGAGAGAGAAACATCAATTTGTTGCTCCACTCATTTATGCATTCATTGGTTGATTCTTATGTGCCCAGACCAGGGATCAAACTTGCAACTTTGGCATATTGGGACAATACACTAACCAACTGAGCTATCCGGTGGCTTTTTTTTTTCCCCTCTTTAATATATTTTATTGATTTTGTACAGAGAGGAAGAGAGAGACAGAGAGTCAGAAACATCGATGAGAGAGAGTCATCGATCAGCTGCCTCTTGCACACCTCCCACCGGGGATGTGCCCAACCAAGGTACATGCCCTTGACCGGAATCGAACCCAGGACCCCTCAGTCCCCAAGCCAACGCTCTATCCATTGAGCCAAACCGATTTCAGCCCGGTGGCTTATTTTTAAATTGATTATTCTCACAGTGATAACTGTGGTTGATTGAAAACAAGGTTTACTATCTATAGAAAACTTTCTCCTCCCTATCATTCGAGTGCCCCTAAATACCCTATTATTTGAAGGCCCAGAAAATAGTTCACGTCCACCCTAGGTCTAATGCTCTATCTAACAACGCCCCGTGAGTGCTCCAGGGCCACCCTCCTCTCTCCCAGTGAGTACTCTTGACCAGTCCATTAAACCCACGCTTCCAGAGGGTCTGGTATGACCATACTTGGGTAGGAATAAAAAGGAGAAGGAAAGCATTTTAGGGGCAGCAGAGGAAAAAGATTTACAGAGAGAAAGGTTTGGGGTTCAGGGAGCGAGACACCTTCCTGCCTGAATCTTTTGGCCAGGTAAAAAGCCTTCTACATCTATGCAAAAGGCAGATGAGCTGCCATCTGAGGATTAGAATTAAACTTCATGGAGTTCTTTGCGGTGACAGAACAAAAATCACATCTAGGAATCAAGACAATAAAGGAGGTTTCATTTTCCCCTTCCCTGAAAGGGAACTTGTCGAAAGATAAAAAGACCCAGAAAGAAACGGAAGAGGGAGCCATTTCTAATTGTACACTTCATTTCCCTGGTTATCTTCCCACCTCTTCCTCAGGTTTATAAATTCTTACCTTGGTCAGCTGGTGCCTGTTACTACGCAATGATGACTTCTGGGCAGCTATGTGAGGAAACCAAGTCTTTAACATGCCTTCAACCTGTAGCAGAGTTCTCAGATACCGCTCCCTGTGAAAAAGAAATTACAAACAAAAACACATAATTAAGTGTGAAAGAAGCAACATGACAGGGCTGAAAATATCTCCTTTTTTAAGGATGTACTGAGGAAAGAACCAGAAGAACTCACCCCATCTGTGGCTTCTGCAAAACACCTATGATACGCTGGATCCTGTCCATTGCCACACTCTGCTGGAAACTGCTCAATCCTGGGTTCAGGGAGTGAGAAGGAGATCGAGGATTGGAATTCAAGAATTGAGTCAGGTAAAGAAAAGGAGGACAGAAGGGAGTTAAAATGGATTCACCCAAAGAAATTAAGTCATCGAAAAATAGAAATAATCAAGACCCAAACAAAGACTTACAAGAAACATACATTTAAAACATATTTTAGAAGAGAGAGACGAGAGAGGAAAAAACGGGAGATGTATCTAGCTCAGATGAATGCAACTAACCTCTTTCAAAGCGACCCATCTTCAGCCCATTCAGTAGGTCTGTGAGAGGACGTATGAATCCCTGGAGCTCTTTACACTGCAGAAAAACGGGACAGAGGCTATGAGAAGGCCATGCATTGCTGACACCAGTACTGATTCTTCTTCCACCTCCAAATCTGGGAGCCAATACTATCCTCACAGGGTCCTTACCAGCAGCAGGGGGCTAAGACACCCCAGTAGTATCTTGTTTCCCCAGCTTTTTCTTACCTTCTGAGCAAAGAGCAGGTCTCCTTCTGTGGTTGTACCACGGATGTTTAGACTGGTCTTCAAATCACGATCTCTTCTTGATCTTTTGACCCCAGACCCTGCCATAGGAGAAGCCAAGTCCCGCTGTTCCGAGTGAGATGCTGTATGTTGGTTCCTGGAAACCTTGGGTCGTCGCCTGCAGCGGATAGGACCGGGGCTGGGCCCAGAACCTCCCCTCTGCCCAACAGTGTCTGGTCTGGGGCCTTGGGCCCCCTTCTCCTCCCCCTCACTATCCGAGGGGAAGCCAAAGTCACTGTTCACTGGGGAGGTGGAAAAAGAGGAAGGGGGAGAGGAGGAGGAATAGGAAGAAACGCTAGATGGAGAATCCATAGGTTCAGAAGCAGGGTTGGAGAGCAGCTCCCGGAGTACCCCAAGAAGATCGGACCTGCAACTGAAGAGCAAAAGCAAAGGAGTTTGAAACCAGAATCCGAGAATCAGGAAATGACTGGGAGACTGGGGCGTACTGTACGGGATAATCATCTCTCTTCTCTCCCTGGCCAACATTGCCTGCCTGACTCAGGGACAATAGTAAAAGCCATCTCCCCAGCCATCTCCATTAAGAAGAACCCGAACTGCCTGCCAGCCTGTCTCTCTGGCCTCGGGCGAGCAGCGCCTGGCCGGACAGACTTCTGTATCTCCTCCCCACATTTCAAGAGTCAATAGCTGACTGAACACCTTCCCCAGTCCGGCCCATCGTCCGCCCGATCGGTTCCGAGCCCGATTCCGCAGCCAGCCTCTCAATCTGAAGTCACGCCACCCGCGAGCGTTCAATCTCCGGCACCGGAACCCACCTAGTGCCTCTGCAGGAACCCCTCCCATGGAGACATCCCTCCTCCCTCCCCCACCTGCCTCTTCTCCCCAGTCTTTCCTATCAGGTCTCCTACTCCGGACCCTCTCGGGTCCCTCTGCTACGTGATACGATCCCTCCCAATACCAAGAGGTTCCCTAAAACCTGCTCTCTCTCGGGCTGATCCCCCCGCGCAGACCACAGACTGCCCCCCGGCCTCCGGGTCCCCTCACCTGTGTCGGTCGGCTCAGCCCCGGCTGCCTCCGGCTCCTCCACTCACTCCGGGTCGCAGCTACCCACCTCCGCCTCCCTCCCCGGGGCCCCGCCCCTCGCCCCTCCCAGACACGTGCAGTTCCGCACGTGCCTTCCCCCCTGCGTACACAGACCTCGCCCCCTCATTGGCCTGCGAGCCGGGGGCACGTGACCACGGATACTGACACTCTTATTCCATTGGCTACAGCCTGCAGGGGCTCGGCCAATAGGGAGGCAGCCTGGTGACGATTGGCTGGGAGGGCGGCATTCCGCGCTCCGCCCCTACATGCGGCTCGGGGAGAGGACCCGGTGATGAGCCCGGCAGGAGGATGGAAAAAAGAGTGGAAAAGGAGGGAGGGGCGGGAGAGGGCGGAAGCCGTGGCCTTACATAGGATGGTGGTGCGCCGGAAACGCGTGGCTGGAGCGTGCTGAATGGTGGTGTGGCCCGGATCGCACGCCTCGAGATATAGGGCTCGCGGCTCCTCCTCGGGATCCGACCCGTCGGCCCCCTCCCTGAGCGCCTCTGCTCACGAGGGAAGCACGTGGAGCCAACAGCGACGGGCATCCACAATGTGTGTTTTAATGGATGCGTGCCGCCGTGTGGCCTCTCCCCCTTCCGGCTGCCCAGCCCTCTTGTTCCGCAGCCTGTTTCTCCTACAAGTCGGGTGCCTCTTGCCCTGCTGGGTGAGGAGGGTGGGGACTGCCGCCGAGAACACCGCGTTCCCTCTCGGGCTCCCCCTGGGGCGGCTCCTCCCTTACATAACCCGTCGTGCACGTTACCAGCACGGATGCCAGCCCGCCACGACTCTAGAGGTCAAAGCCGAATCCGATTGTTCCTGGCTCCCTTACCCGGGCCCCGCCGGCTCTGCGCCCCGAATTCTGTGATTCCTAGCGCTGGAACGTGGTGGGGGGAGGTCCCTGATCTTCTAGATTATGGGTTCGTCTAACTTCAGTTTCTTCATTTGTTCCCTGGAGAAATTCGAAAGGCTTTGAAGGAGGGAAGGTGACAGGTCTGGGGTTCGCTGCCCCTCGCAGTATGGAGACGGTACGGTGGAGAGAGAAGGGGATAGGGACTCCGGCTGTAAGCAGATGGAAGCTGTAACATAGGAGAGGCCGCAAGGGGGCAGCCCAGTCTTGATTAGGGTCCCGAGGATAGAGAAATGGGGAAAAAAAAAAAAAAAGTAATGTCCCTGCCTGCCCTAATTACTAATTGGAAAAGGCACATTGTTGGGGGGTGGGAGGAATGGAGGAGGGTGTGAAATTTTATCTATTCTAAGTAGTTCCTTATATTTTACATATGTTTGAGCTTATTTATAAAAAGAAAACAAGGGTTCTAGAACTTATTTCAACTATCCCCAAACACAGTTTTAATACCATCTATAATCAAATAAAGCAATAGAATCAGAGAGAATCATAGTCTGTGAATAAGCCTGTTGTCTGAGGGTGCTTTTCTCCATTCTTCCCCAAACTTCAGGTTTATTCAGTCCTAATACTATTGTCACCGAATGCCCTTTAATATCTTTAAAAAAACAAAAACAAAAAAACTATGTTTTCAGAGAGGAATGGAGGAAAGGAGAGATAGAAATCTCAATGATGAGAGAGAATCATTGATCAGCTGCCTCCTGCATATCCCCTACTGGAGATGGAGCCCACAACCCTGGCATGTGCCCTGACCAGGAATCCAACTCTGACTTCTTGGTTCATGGGTCCATGCTCAACCACTGAGCCACATCCGCGGGGCCACCTAACTCACTTTCTAGTCTACACTTCCCACCCCCATATCCTGGTGCTTTCTTTAGTATTGTGGCTTTAGAACAGACCCTCATGAAGGAGTAGAGAGTAACCAGATTATTTCATGTATTTATTTTATTTTCCAATTTCCTCTTCCCAAATCCTCATCCAAAGAGTCATAACAGCATTTTCATCCTAAAAAGACAAAAAAAAAAAAAGGAAAACAATAACAACCAGGTTCAGGGGACTCAGGAAACCCCTCCATGCCCCCACCTCTATGAAAACTCCCCAGATTTCATGTTGTGAGCTGTATTTCTCCATGACACCTTCTGGAAGATGTGTCACCTTCCCTTTTCACCCATTCCTTCTGCTAAATCTCTTCATGCCCATAGCTATTTAGAATCCCAACTGAAATCCCTCCCTTATAATGCAGGTTTCTATTTCCTCCTTCTTTCCCCCACCACCTCTGTCCTACATTAGGGAACTGCCATCCCTTCTGCCTCTGAACTTTGCCTCTTGACGCTACCAGGTTATGGGGCCCCTCCCATTTTGCCCTCTGGCTCTTAAACTATCTTGCCTTAAACTACCAACGCGCTGGAACCACCTTTAATAACTCAAGGCAGACTGGGAACAGACTGGGAACCAAGAGAGGTTTCTTCTCCATTCCACCTGCTTCTGCTCTAGGAGGCCCTGAAATCCTCCCAGTTAAAAAAAAAAAAAAGTAATTATTCTTATTACAAAAGTCTTGGCCTCGACATCTCCTAAGGTTTTTCCAAATGTTATCCCTCTGCTTTTATGCATTTGAAAATGGACCAGGCTGGAAACACTAGCCAGAGATAGTGATAAAAACTGCTTCACAGACTTCATCAAGGCCAGTGGCTGCCCTCTCACCTTCTACATGAAATACATCCACTCGTGAAGGAGGGTCCAGGACAGGAGAAGGGAAACAGGACTCTGCAGACTGGAGACAGCATGGTTCATATCTGGACTCCGCTAAAAGAGAGAGATCATGCCATAGTGAGTCAGTATCCTCCTTCCTACTACTCCCTCACCATCTGGAAAGATAGCCATCTCTTCCTACCAACTTTTGTCTTCCTTTCCTCTGAGCATACCTTCTTCCCCAGCACCGTAAAGAATTCTTTCCTCTGTGCCTTTCACCCATTCCTGACCATACCAGGGCGGTTCTACTCAATTCCATATGTATTTTTATTTATGTGCTGGTCCCTGTGCTACATGCTATAATAGGGAGATAAATGTGGTTAAGCCATGGCTCCTACTCAAGGAGTTTATAATCTAAAGGAAGCCTGTTATATACTTGAAAAGGTTTATCTGTCCTTGTCATCAATCAGAACTTTCCATTCCTCCCATCTGTGTTCAACTGTATTCAGGCTGTACTTTGATCCTGCTGCTTCTCTTTATGTCACTGCCAATTGTCACAAATGGTTGGTCTATGCTCTTCCTTACAATGTACTCCCTCTCGGATTCCACAAAATCTAGCTTTTGCTCCAACCACTCACTTAAAACTGCTTTTTGGGGGTTATGAATAATCTCCTTCTCCTTGGCCTCTTGGTAGCTTTTCATTGATTATATTAAACTTCTCTTCTAGACTCTATTAGCTATCTGCATTTCTCTTTCCCTTTCTACAGGCACAGGCATTGGCCTTTTGGTCTCCTGTGTGTACTGAGCTTTCTGCTTTCGTAACTGTGATTTTGCACTTAGAACTGCAGTCCTGGCCTAATTCCTTAACCTTTTTTTCCTTTTATTTCCTCTACCTTCATGACAGCCTCATAGGGCTGACAACATGAGTTCAGCTTGGCCAATACCACATTTATAACCACTTCTAAAATCCTCTGGTCTCCCACTTCCCATTTTGGTTAACCATTTCCCTGATATCCATGTTTAAAATATGTTATTTTAACTCTCCAGTCATTTGGTGCTCATATGAAATTTTCACTGAAACAAGATTTTTTTTTCTTCAAAATATTTCTTTTTCTCTTCTCCATTCAAAATGCCACTGCCTTCCCTAGTCCAACACTTTAATGGATTGTTTTGGGAATGATAGAAATCTCGTGAATCTCTTTTCACTCCATTGCATCCTGTGTACAACAAGACAAATAGTTTTTCTAAAAATACTGCTTTTATTGTGTCTTTACTACCCTGAAGAACTTACTAGGCTCCCTATTTCTTGTGAGTTCAAACTTCTTTTATTTTAAAAAAAATAAAGCCTGCCGAAACTGGTTTGGCTCAGTGGATAGAGCGTCAGTCTGCGGACTGAAAGGTCCCAGGTTCTATTCCGATCAAGGGCATGTACATTGGTTGCAGGCACATCCCCAATAGAAGGTGTGCAGGAGGCAGCTGGTTGATGTTTCTCTCTCTTCGATGTTTCTGGCTCTCTATCCCTCTCCCTTCCTTTCTGTGAAAAATCAATAAAATATATTTTTAAAAATAAATAAAGCCTGACACTTCATATTTTCTAGTATTTTGTCCATTGTTCCCATTTGTGAAATTACTGAACAAATATTAAGTCTTATAAATTTTATTTTTTCTTAATTTCCTACTGCTCCTTTCCATATACTCTCTCTCTCAATCATAGCTCCTCTACAAAACATGTCATGCTTGTTCTATCCCCATAGTTAATGCAGCTCTTCCGTTCTTCTAATAACTATCCTTCCTAATTGCTTTCATCCTTTTATAATGTACCACCAACCAAAAGCTCACCTAGGTAAGGGATGTCTCATGTCCCTCCCATCTTATCCCCACTTAACTCACTGGTTCCATTGTCACTGGTTCCATTGTCACTGGTTCCATTGTCACTGGTTCCATTGTCACTGATTCCATTGTCATTGATTCCATTGTCACTGATTCCATTGTCATTGATTCCATTGTCATTGGTTCCATTGTCACTGGTTTCACTGTCACTGATTTCACTGTTACAGGCTTCTGATGGTCTACATGTTCTGTTTCACGAATAATGGTTGTTTCTTCTGCTTCCATTACCTCCTTATCCAACCTGTTCTATCCTCAGTAGGATTAGGAAACTAAGAATTATCATCACCTCCATCCAATACCCTCATCAAGTTCACCTCTCCTTCACCTCTCCTGTCCCCAGCCCCATCCTACTCACCCTCCAAGATGTAAGCTCGGGGACTCTCCTTACCTTGCATTTGCATGGATTGTGTACCCATCCCATTCACCAATTCCCTGCACTCAAGGGCCGCTCCTCCCTCTTACGTGACTTAACCTACTGGGTTCTGGCTTCTCTTCCCCAGCTATGACAACATCTCTGTTTTGTATCCAATACCCAGTTTCACTTCACCTAACTCATTTTCATTTCTGTTAAAAATTTTCATTTCAACATTGTTCAGTTTCTTTTTAACTGTTACCTATCCTGATCCTCTTAGATGTCACTCACCAGTCTGTCCTCTGACTCAAACATGGAATAATCAACAGTGAAATTTGCACCAAAATAATCTGGGGAGGAGAAAACAATAAGTAGTAACAAAAGAAAAAGGCAGTAGTACCTCTAGAAATGAAAAGGGGAAGAAATTGCTCTGAACACTTCAACTTGTTCAAGTTGTAAAATTTACTGGTATAATCTAATTCTAGAATTCTAGTAAACTTTAATGTGAGAAATGTCTGTGAATATGTTTATATTTTCTTTCTTCTTCTTTTTTTTTTTTTTTTTTAGAGTGAGAGAGAAACATTCATTGGTTGTCTCCTGTATGCATCCCAATTGATGATCAAACCCATACCTCGGGCATGTATCCTGATCAGGAAACAAATCCACCACCTTTCAGTGGATGGGTCAATGCTCTAACCAATTGAGCCACAAGAGCATTTATATTTTCAATCTAACATCTACAATAATTTACAAATTAGAAACATTTCAAATTGTTCAACCCGTTCCAAAGAATTGAAAATTGCTATCTTGAGAAATAACATCATGAGCTTTGATAGTCTGCTCATAGCAACGTTTCTCTGACCCAGTTGCTCTTTTGCAAGGGGAAAGACAAAGTCTCAGAAATAAATCTCCCCCAAACCTCTCTCTCCATCCAGCTAAGGGTCAGAGCCTTCTAAATACTCACCATAATTGGGGGTGACTGTGTAATTATAGAACACTTGATAATAATAATCCTCTTCCAGTCCTTCTTCATCATCTTCATACATTTGTCCTAAGGGGACAAGGACTATGGTCAAGGGGCATCTGGGACTTTTTAGCAACAGAAAGACACTTGAACTTTATCTCAGCTCTATCCTTTTGACCTCACCTCCAAGGGTAAGACTATCTCCCTGACTCTGCACCTCTCAACCCTTCTCAGTCTTCTGGGCTTCATATCAGGATGAGGCTTGTTCCTCTGTGCCCTTTCAATCCAGGAAATCCCACAACAGAAAAACAGATCCCTTCACATACTGTAAACCAAAAACAAAAACTAAACCTACAAAAAAGGCAGGAAGCAGAGAGAGAGAGAGAGACCAGAAATCAAGTACTCCAAATCTACAATGCAGTATGCTCCCGGCTGTCCTCTGTGTATGAGAATTATCCTCTTATCGGTGTCTCTCACAAATAATGAACACACATACCGTTAGGCTTTGGATTTTTATTTTAGTTCCATTGCTGTCAGGATAACTTTGAACAAGCCGTTTAACATCCATTTTCTTAAAATGAGTCAGCTGGAGTAAACGACCCATCTGCATTCATTTTTCTTCCTTCCCCAGACTGAAAACATGTAGCTTTGACATGATTGGATCAAGAACGTCTAGGCCTCCTGCTAAAACACTTCCCTAAGCCCCTTGAAGTCCTGAACCACAAGCAATGACACAAGAATCTGGAGGAAAAGGAAACAATCAGAGCACCTGGCCAGACTGGGAACAAAGGAGGGAAGGAGCCAAGCTCCTTTTCAGACCCTGTCCCTGAAGGCACCCAGTTCTTCACTCCCCTAAAGGTCACCCCCATTTCTATTTCTTTACAAGTTTCCCCCTCCAACATCCTGGGGAAGAAGACAGACTGGCTCCCCTCACTAGTTTCAAACTTCCCCACCTTCGGAGTCCACGGCTCTCCTTCACTCTCATTAGTCCCTCTCATCTTGTTCAATTCTGTAGTGATGGAGAGCCGAGTTCACGCTTGTGAGGACCTCCACGGTTCTGGGGCTTCATCCTCATCATCTGTTTCTTCTTTGACAGGACTCTGCTTTCCTCCCCCTTTCCTGGCTGTGTTTCCCGGATCCCCCGCCACCCCCAACACTGGACTGTATGTAGCGCAGATGAGAGAGTGTTTATCACTCCCCATTGAATTGCATCTCTCAACTGCTCCTCTCCCTCTCCCTCACTCCCCCTGCCCCCCTGTCTCCTCCCATTCCATTTACGGTAGAAGACCTGGCCCGAAAGCTCAGGGAGAGGAGTGAACTTACCCAGGATAAGCGGCATAGCAAGGATGGCTACAAAGAGGACATCCATTCTGGATGCTGCACTACCCTGTGAAAGTTAAAAAGGAAATTGCAACGTTTCCCACCAAGCTTACCCCGCCTCCGGCCCTCCTCCAGCGCGGGGAGGGAGCTGCAGGAACTCTTCTCTCAGGGGGTGGAATTCCCCTCCTACTTGCTGACGGACTAGATCCTCAGTTACTGCCGGTCCTGTCCTCAGTCACAGCTTCCCCTATGAAGGATGGGAAAGTGGGCTTCAAAGAGAATGTGTTCATTGGGCTCCCCCAGGCCTAGACTAGGCCACTTAGGGTTCCTGCCGCCACTAACAAAAACTACAAAAAACAAAAACACCCCCACTCCCACTACTAGGAAGCTTCTCTTAGTAAGCCCTCTCCCTTCCTCTCCTTCCCTCTCTCTCAGTCCCCACAAAAAGTTCACCGTCCTAAGTTACCATCACCATCCAGAGTTGCCCTTCTCTCTGAGGCTTTATCACAATCTTTCTTCCCAGTTGGCACGCTCTGAGAAGGGATGAGCATTTTGTAGCTGAAAAGAGTCCTCTTTTCTGCCTGCCTTGGACAGTGAAGGCTGGGAGCAACATCAACATCATTGTCTGACTCTCAAAGCACCTGCTACATTGCTTTTGATAAAAATCTCCCAGCCAAGGCCAGTTATTTCCTCTCTCGCAAGTACTGACCTCACCTTACCTCTTTCTTAAGTTGCTGAATACAGGATGGAAGGGAGAAAGCAGATCGTCTCTTTCCCTGCGAAGGTGCCACACCTCTTCCACTTTCAGTCACTTGGTGTATTCCTTTCATCCCAGCATTCCAGGGGTAGAGTTTATCTTATCCTTTTCTCTACTTTTCTGTTTTCCATTTTTATTGAGTTCTATTCAGAAACATTTAGTAGCATGCATGCTAGGCACAATGTAATAGCTGAGTCTGATAGGCAATTCAGGTTCACAGGCAAAGGAATAAAAAAAAAGTTCAGCCGGGACCGGTTTGGCTCAGTGGATAGAACATCGATCTGTGGACTGAAAGATCCCAGGTTCGATTCTGGTCAGGGCATGTACCTTGGTTGCGGGCACATCCCTGGTAAGGCAGCTGGCCCATCGACATTTCTAGCTCTCTATCCTTTCTCCTCCTCTCTGCAAAAAATCAATAAAATATATTTTTTTTAAAAGAAAAAAAATTCAGTGTGTATGTGTGTGTGTGTGTGTGTGTGTGTGTGTGTGTGTGTTAAAGAGTTAATACATGTTTTTCAATATCTACTATGAGCCAGGCACTTGCAAATCTCTGTGGAACCACACATGAACAAGATATATTTGGCACCTGCCCTCCTCTCTTAGGAGATGCTGTGGTAGCAGTTCAAAGGAGATAGAGGAAGGGTTGTCTTATCCCCACACCTTCCCCTGACTCAGCCTGATAGATTCAGATGCAAGGCACCCTAGAATTTTGAGCACTAGCCAGGGTGCTCCCTTCCTCTCGGCCTTATGGGAGAGGATTTGCTTGGTGACTTTCCATATAAGTGTATACAATCTATTCCTTCAGCTCCTTTCCAGAATTTCCTGAAAAAGGAAAAATGTAAAAACACTTATGTGGATATATATGCATTAAAACATAAATCCCTCCTAGGAAGGAAAGGAAGCCTGGTTCTCCTTGAACAACCTCCTGCTACTTTTGCCTAAACACCAAGGACTAACCCCACCCATCCAAATGAGGATATAACCCCCTCTTCTCTTACACTTTCTCTCTCTAATGTGGAACCCCTGCCCTGTCCTCCAGACTGAGAAAAAGACACCACCAAGGTTCATTTCAGGAAAAAGAGGAAATATGACATCAAAGGAACTGAGTGACTGGGATGGGGGGTGGAGAGGAAGTAACTTTCCTTCAACCCCACCGCTCTAATTGCTTTTGGCAATTTTAACTATGGATCCCTTCTGGCCTTCTTAAAATTGCTCTCCAAGCTCCTTTTCCTTCTATTTCTCTTGTCATTACAGATGAAGGCTTCACTAGCGACATACTACACTGTACTGCATGTTTCCTATACTGGCCTGTTGGAAGAGTTACTACTTTTAAGTCTAACTTTCATCTCTGAGGCAGTAGCTCTAGCCCATTTCCTCTCATTCAAGTCAGAACAATACCCATGCCTATCTCCTTGCAACCTCTATCCTGTGCTTTCTTCGTATTTGTCCCTTAGGTTCCTACAGGATCTTCCCCCCTCGGCAGCTCTTCAAGGAGAGGTAGGATGGCTACCACCCTTTTCCACAAAATAACTAAAGGAAGTCGCAGCCAGGGCACAATCCAACTCTTCAGCCCATGCCCCGCCCAGGCCCAGTCTCTGGCCAATTCCCTTTGTGACTTGGGCCACGCCCAGCACCGAAGTTGAGGGCTTAAAGGGGCGGGAGAACTACAACTCCCAGCAGGCCTTGCAACACGCCCCCGCCCCTCCGATTTTCCATTGGCCGGGGGGCGGGGCGAGGGTCAGATGGGAGGTGACCAAGGGGCTGCGGCAGGGGTTTGTCCCCTCCTCGGCTTCCGTAGAGGAAGTCGCGCGGACCTGTATTTGGGGTTTCGGTGCCCCCACTTCCCCTTCCCCTTCCCCGGGGCCCGGGGGTGACATTGCACCGCGCCCCTTGCGGGGTCGCGACGCCACCCTACGCGGACTCTCTAGCGGGCGTGCTCCTCCCATTTGCCTCTCTCGGCCGGGCCTCCACCCCGCCCCCAGCTGACCAGCCATGGGGGCCGCCGTGTTTTTCGGGTGCACTTTCGTCGCTTTCGGCCCGGCCTTTGCGCTTTTCCTGATCACTGTGGCTGGGGACCCGCTTCGAGTCATCATCCTGGTCGCAGGGTGAGTAGGATCGGGGAGACTCGGGAGGGCGCCCAGGGGAGAGATCGGGAAAGGGCTGGAGGAAGCGGGCTTAGCCCGGGAGCCGGAGTTGGGGGGAGACAAGTCGGAGGTGAAGATCGGAAAGGGTTGAGTCGGGGGTTTGGGCGATTTCCCTTTCCCGCAGTTGGTTTCCGCCTTCTAGGGATCGCACAGATTCCTTCTCTACTTCTTCCGGCGACGTCAGAGGAGACCGAGGCCGAGGCTCGGAAGGGGCGGTGGGGACTTCGGGCGGCCCTAAGGGAGGATCCAGGAATGGATACCTCGCCCTACTGTGCTCATACACCCCGACTCTCATTGGTCTGAAGTCCATTTGTACTCCATCCCCTGCGTCCGGAACCCTAGAGACTCCCTGGGTGAAAACACCTATCTTATCGGTTCCCTGTCTCCCTGACCATCCGGAAGTCTCACTTCCACTTTTCATGTTGCAGCTTTGGTTGGTTCCCTTCCTTGATTTCTATGGCTGCCTCTCCCCTTGCCTGTCTGATTGCCCCCGTTTTCCCTCAGGGCGTTTTTCTGGCTGGTCTCCCTGCTCATGGCGTCGGTGGTCTGGTTCATCTTGGTCCATGTGACCGACCAGTCAGATGCCCGGCTCCAGTATGGCCTCCTGATTTTTGGTGCTGCGGTCTCTGTCCTTCTGCAGGAGATGTTCCGCTTTGCCTACTACAAGCTGCTGAAGTAAGAAGAGGGGTGGTCAGGAGGGGAGAAGGGCAGAGGATGGCCCCATCAACAGCGGGGCAGCCCCTGGGTGGTGGTGTGGAAGGAGAGCTCTAAGGGAGGATATTAGAGGGAAAGGAGCATCCTGCCTTCCCTCATGTGTCCCCACCCCGCCCCACCCCACCCCATCCCAGGAAGGCAGATGAGGGGTTAGCATCGCTGAGTGAGGACGGAAGATCACCCATCTCCATCCGCCAGATGGCCTATGGTGAGCCGAGGGAGATGGGCCGGAGAAGGGCACTGGACACCTCCCTCTCTCAGGGAAGTCGCTAAACATCCACCTGTTCTCAGTGGCTCCTTGTTTTCCTTCATGTCTGACTTCCAAGGAGCGGTGGTCTGGAGGGAGAGTAGTGTTGGGGGAGTGTAACTGGAAATGGGGAGGGATCACTGGTAATCAGGCTATACCGATTCCTGACATTGATGACACCCTCCCTCCCCCCAGTTTCTGGTCTTTCTTTCGGTATCATCAGTGGTGTCTTCTCTGTTATCAATATTTTGGCTGATGCACTTGGGCCAGGTGTGGTTGGGATCCATGGAGATTCACCCTATTACTTCTTGACATCAGGTAAGACCCACTTTGTATCTTGACCTCATGCCCCATCCATCCTGGCCCTGACCTTACTGATCGGCCCTCCCCGGGAGACTTCTGTGGCCCCACCTCTCAGGAGGCTGGGAGAAGGTAAGGATGTGTCTCCTCCCCCTCTCGCTCCCTGCAGCTTTCCTGACAGCAGCCATCATCCTGCTTCACACCTTCTGGGGAGTTGTGTTCTTTGATGCCTGTGAGAGGAGGCGGTACTGGACGTTGGGCCTGGTGGTGGGGAGTCACCTACTGACCTCAGGACTGGTAAGTCAGGGTCAGGGGCCTAAGTCAGGAAAACACTTGATGGTGGGCTGTCAGGAGGGAAACCTTATCTTCACTTCTGGGCAGTTTAAAACTTATCGTGGGAGAAGGCAGAAAGGTGAATCTTCAGCATCAATTAAGTAACCTTCCCCGGGATGCTCTGGGGAGGAGTTTGACTGGATGGGTCAAGCTGCAATGCAGATGGCCTGAGGGGAGCAGGAGCGCAGAAACCTCTGAGGAAGCTGAGAGTCAAAGTCTCTTTAACCACAAGATGTTGGTGCGGAAGGGAAGGCCAGGGGCATTTGAGTGAGCTATCTGGGAGAGGTTTGGGTTAAAGGCACAGAGAGCACATGGCAACTAGGCAGAGAGAAAAATCTAACTTTTTTTCTACTCTCACTCCCATCCCCAGACATTCCTGAACCCCTGGTACGAGGCCAGCCTGCTGCCCATCTATGCAGTCACTGTTTCCATGGGGCTCTGGGCCTTTATTACAGCCGGAGGGTCCCTCCGAAGTATCCAGCGCAGCTTCTCGTGTAAGGACTGACTACCTGGACTGATCACCTGACAGATCCCATCTGTCTGCCCACTGCCCATGACCGAGCCCAGCCCCAGCCCCGGTCCGTGGTTCACCATTCTCTGTCTCCTTCTCGTCGGTCTGTCCCGCCACCTTCAGGGTCTTTCTGTGTCCATTGGTGACCTTTAGGCTTTCCCAGGAGCGGCCTGGGTTCGGCCAGTCCGTGACTGGTGGGTTTGAATCTGCACTTATCCCCACCCTCTGGGGACCCCTTTGTTATCCAGGACTTTCCATGTGTCAGTGCTCTGCTTTCGCCCTGCCCCGGACTCACCTCCCTTCCCCTCTGCAGGCCGACGGCAGGAGGACAGTCAGGTGATGGTGTATTCTGCCCTGCGCATCCCACCCGAGGATTGAGGGAACCTTGGGGGGGAACCCCTGTGCCTGGGGTGCTCCCCTGATCTCCTCGCTCTGTATCTCTCCATCTCCAGTTCTGGACAGTGCAGGTTGCCAAGAAAAGGGGCCTAGCTTAGCCATTGCCGTGAAGGTGAAAGGAATGGCGGCTCAAGGTTAGATGAGCTCTGAGTGTCCCAGGACCCCCTCCCCAGACTGGACTTCTTGGTCTTTTTCTCAGGTCTGAGGGGAACCATTTTTGGTGTGATAAAGACCCAAAACTGCCTTTTTCTTTCCCCCTTTTTTTTTTGACAAGGAAAAGGGAGAAGGTATGTTGGACTTCTCCTAACCTCCTCCCATTGCTCCCTATGGCTTGGGCTCATATCTATGCCCCACGGTCCCAGGCCTTGTGGGGACAGGAAGGAAATGCATGTGTGGGAACTGGCATTACTGGAACTGATGTTTTCACCTCCTTGACCACCAGCATCCCTCCTCTCCCCAAGGTGAAGTGGAGGGTGCTGGGCGAGCTGGCCCCCTCCAGAGCCGCAGTGCCACGGAGAAGCCAGCCTGCCATGACATCGCAGGGAGGAGGGGAGATTTTTTTCTAGTTTTTAATTGGGACTGTCTGGGGGTGGGGTGGGGAGGTTTTCTATAAACTGTATCATTTTCTGCCGAGGATGGCGCGTCCCATCCTTTTAATCAAGGTGACTGTGATTTTGACTAATAAAAAGAACTTTATAATTGTGGGGGAATGCGCCTTTTAAGGAAGGGGATGACGTCAGTTGAGGTTCCTGCCCGCTCACACCTCTTAGGCAACTTTCTTCCTAATGTGGCACCTCTGATCCCCTCCCAGCCTAGGTTTGGTGCAAGGACAGAAATGTGGGCTGGTGGTCCTACGTGTCAGAAACTTCGGGTTAAGCATTTTCTAGGGCCTCTCCGAGGATTGGTGTAAAAGAAGTTACTCACACATGCTTCTTTTTCCCGATCCTCTGCCTACCTCTGCCACCCGAGGGATTAAGGAACTCTCTCACACTCAGGAGCCCCAAAGGTAAAGCCAGAGGTGGGTCAGAAACCTTAATTTTCAAATATATTGAGCAAAAATATAATCCCCCACAACAGCAACCCTTTTTCCTGAGGGGATATCCTGCCCAGATCTAGGGAAAGAGCCATAAAGGGGGTGGGGGTGGGGGGTGGAGGTGGGGGAACTTTGGGTCACATTCCCAACTTCTCTTACAACCAAACACAGTTTGCCCTCTGCATTGTCAATGTATGGGCCGTCTCATCTCCCATATGTTTTGAGAGACTGCCATTCTTTCTTGACTGAGGGCCAGTCCATGACTGTCTGGAGGAAGGAGGGGTTGGTATTTCTGGCCAGTCCCTATCCGCCATTCTAGAAACTTCCTAACAGATCCTATTTGGGCTTCCATGATGTTCGAGATGGAGTTTATTCCACGGTGGCTTGTGCTGAGGTGAATCCCACACTCTTCTCGTGTCTCGACCTCTTCTTCCTGGAACGGGGAATGGTTCATGGACATGACTGGTGTCCTAAGAGAGACAGCTAAGTAGTGGTCGGCAAACTGCGGCTCTCGAGCCACATGCAGCTCTTTGGCCCCTTGAGTGAGGCTCTTCCACAAAATACCACGGCCTGGGCTAGTCTATTTGGAAGAAGTGGCGTTAGAAGAAGTTTAAAAAAATTTGGCTCTCCAAAGAAATTTCAATCGTTGTACTGTTGATATTTGGCTCAGTTGACTAGTGAGTTTGCCGACCACTGACCTAGGAGAATGCTTTTCATTGGGAAAGAAGGGACTAGAGGAACGGGAAGTAGGGCCTCACCGAGTTCTCTTAGCGATGAAATAAATAACCAGCAGAAGGCCGGCGCTGCCAGCCAAGATTCCCAGTCCTAGGCTCACCATTTCACCTGGGAGAGAGATGGAAGGTGTCAGCCTAAGACTGACCTAGACATCGAACCCTTCCCCCGCCCCGTCCCTGATAACGGCCAGGTGCCTTACTTCTGGTGTAGGAGGATTCGTCTGTAAGGGAAGGAAACTTGGGTCAGCAGGGCGTCCGATCCCATCCCAGCTTGCCCCTGCACTTGGGAAAGTCACCTGGCCACTGAGGGTTGGGCAGTGGTTCCAAGTCCAAGTGAGTCCTGGAAACCCTCACCCTCTTAGCCATCCTTTCCTCCCGGGGGCCCCCTAGTTCCTGCCATGGAGAACCCGGTTTCCCATCCTCTTCTCCGAGCTCTGTCAGTCACCTTGGCTGAAAGAAGCAAGGACCGTCCGCTGGTTGAGAGGCTGGAGGACTCGGTAGTTCTGTTCCAGAGGGTGAGAGGGCTCCTTCTCCGTAGAGAATAGCGTCTCCTGAAGCTTTTCCAGCTACAAGTGGAGTTCGGGGAGAGTCGGGTGTGGGAGAGGGTCTGGGGTTACTGCTATGTCTTTGCTGCCTGACCTCCCCACCACTCACCTGCTCCTTTGAAATCTGGACCTTTTGACTGAAGACTGTCCAGAGCACACTTTGGTAGCAGGGGGGTGTGGTGAGCGAGCCGTTGTAGCGGAAATACTGGGCCAGCTCGAGGGGGAGCAGCTCTTTCACGCTGAAGGGAGGCACTGTGGTCACCTGGCCTGGGGGAGAACGGACTGGGATCATCCTCGCACCCAGCTCCCTTTGGTAGGGCTCCCGGAAGCAGAATCCCTGCTGCTACCTCGCTCCCTCATCTCCAGCCTCTTGGTATTTTTTTTTTCTTCTTCTTTTTTGGCATGGGAGTGGGAGAGGGGGAGATTTCCCTGAAGTCTAATCTCATCTTGTCCTAAAATAGACCTTTACGGCTCACCTTTATACCTGATTTCATGCAAGTGACTCAGAATGTGTTCATAAGCTGGATTCTCAGTGTCACCCACCTGGAAAGGAGAGTGTGGCTTGAGTCCACGCTCGGAGTAAGACATTCGTTAGAAAATAACTGGTCAGAGGGGTTGCTGACTTGCCTTGGGAGGGAGACTAACAACAGACATGGGCAGAGTAGGACTGGGGTGCGGAGGGAGTGAAGAGAGACCTTGAAGGACGTGGGAGCCGCTCACCTCAATGAGGATGCCCAAGACAGCCAGGCCCTCGGTGCTCTTAGCAGCCTCACCGAAGCTGTTGTAGGAATCCGAATCGTAATGCACAATGTGGAGCTGAGGGGAGAAGGAACCGCGTCATTTCACATTCCTCCACTCCCCCCTCCCAAAGGCTCTGACGCCAGCTGCCATCACCCCCACTTTCAGCAGGCCCCAAATCTCTCCCACAAGCGTTGGCATTATCCTCCACGCATGACTTTCCAGTTTCCAGATCCTCCTTTCCCCGGGGCCCACCCTGCCCTCACCACGTGCTAGGCCAAGCCTCGCTCTCTGGTACCTCTGCCGCTGTGGCTTTGCTGTTGATCTGGTGCTCTGACCCCGTCAGGGATCCTTTCTGACCCCAGTGCAGGTGGAGCTGGACAGCTACGTATTTCCGGGGAAGGCCCTCCAGATACAGGGTAGGGGGCAGAGAGAGCTGCACTGGGGAAGAGACAGCGAGCTAGGGTTGGTAGAGGAATGGGGACACTTCTCCACCCCTGGGTTGCCGCCAACTCTTGCGAGACTCGGCCCGCCTTCTCGGTCTTCCTTCACCAATAGCACCCAGTTCTTCCCATGGGCCCCTGCTCTTCCAGCACATCTTTCTCGCTGAAGACCAAGGCGATGGAGTTACACTAATCCACCCAGGGAGCTTGAGCATAGACATTCAGTTCCCACTTTTGCTACGGGAGCCTCATCCCCATGCTCACATCTAGTTCATAGAAGAAGCCCAGGATTTAGAAGTTATAGGAGAATGCTTTTCCCCCTGACGTAAGGTTGGGGTACAGCTTTCCCTTGCCGAGAGCCAGGGCTTTTTACCTGTATGGCCATTATTGTGCAGCTCCAGAGGCTTGGTGCCAGGCTGGTCATATCCGTGGGGCTGCAGAGCGGGCAACTTGGAGTCAAAAGTCACACTGCTTGTCTGGATATCGATGGGGGACTGGGCCTTGCCCCCACACTCAGGGAAGGAGGCTGGCCAGTGGTCTTGACCATGTGAGCCTGGCGGAAGTTACCACAGATATCTGTTCTGCCCTCCAGCAATCAGCCCACCGGACTACACATCTGTGTAGAGGTAGGACTGCGCATCCTCCCACCCCCCAGGTGAGGACCCCAGTTGTGTTCAGCTGGGTGAGGTAGGCCCTGCTGGACCTTATGCTTCCATTTCTTCCACCTGCCCCGCGGCAGGGATGACCTCCAGCTTTGCTGAGAAATGGGGGTAGTGGGTTCTACTTACCTGCAGGTTGAGGACAAGAAAGCGCACAGAGGAAGAGGGGCTAGATAAAACCCCTGCAGATCAGCCCGGGGGAGGGGGGAGGAGCAGGAAAGCTGGGGAAATACATGGCCCCGGAGAGGCAGGGTCTGCAGGGCTTTCCCTCATTTGCTTTTGCTCTCACCCTGGGCCTTGCATTGACTCTGGACTTCAGCTAAGTTATTAATCAGAAGTTCAAAGGAATTGAATTCCTCCTCCATCAGGATCACAAACAATCCTGCCATTCAGTGCCTCACTCCTGACCTCAAGTTCTGTCCCAATTCCAGGGGCAGGTTGGGGGTGGAATCGATTAGGATAGAAAAAGAGGTAGGAGGTGAATTGGCAAATAAGCTCATAGTTCAGTTTCCCTAGTCCCGTGGTCGGCAAACTGTGGCTTGCGAGCCACATGTGGCTCTTTGGCCCCTTGAGTATGGCTCTTCCACAAAATACCACGGCCTGGGCGAGTCTATTTTGAAGAAGGGGTGTTAGAAGAAGTTGAAGTTTAAAAAAATTGGTTCTCAAAAGAAATTTCAATCGTCGTACTGTTGCTATTTGGCTCTGCTGACTAATGGGGTTTGCCGACCACTGCCCTAGCCACTATTCTTTCCACTCCAATTCCCTCATCCCACAAACTGAGGACATAACGGGCTCTTCTGCTGAGCCAGGAGGCGTGGGATTTGATGATTAGAACAAGGTCTAGGAGTCACATATCCCAAACCTAGGACACGGGGCGATGGGGAAGGGAAGAAGCTAGGGCGGAAAGCTAAAGGGTGCCATACGACATAACTCTTCCTGCCAGGTGAAGAGGTCCCAGTGTGAAAGGAGAGGTCAGTGTAGGTAGGCCTTGGAGTCAGCTCTCACCCTCATATGTCCAGTGATCATCTGCAAGGCAGAGGAGTTTGAGTTACCGCCCGCCCGGGACAGGGCCCTCCTGGGCGTCTGTACCCTCCACCTCCCTCTCTGCTCGCAGGCTCTCCTCCCTCCACTCCAGCACTTCCCAAAGGAAGCCCTGAAACTGGACACCTCAGTGGAAAGGTCGGAGAGGTCGGGGGCCTATTTAAAATCGCCAGCCAGGCTGTGCCTGTGCCTGCTGCGGAAAGGGGGAGGAGAAATGAAAAGAGATAAAGGCCGGAGACTAAAATTAACCTGGACCCAAACGCGCAGTCCACCCAACCCTCACTTTCTCCAGCCTGTGCCAAGCCAATCAAACACCGAGAACGTCCGGGGTGAGACGGGGGTGTGGGCAGGGGGTCTGGAGGAGAGAGATGAACAGGGAGGGGAGAGGAGTTCAGAGTAGGGGACAGTGATACTGAGGGGAGAAGGACGATTATTCCTTTGCCCTGAAGCACTGCACAGAGCTGGAAGCGAACATTTAACTTCCTCCCCTGGTCCCAGTAACTCGAAAGAAAATGTCCCCTGTCACCGGGAGCCTCTGCTTCCCAGATTCCCAGATGGCTGGGGGAGGCGGGAGGCAGGCCAGGGTCCACTCCACATGCAGGGTGGTGGGTGGGCACAGGCAGCCCGGCTGGCAGGCACAGGATGAAAGTGAAGCATTGTGTGTGGAAAAGAGATCTGCCAGCTGGGTCACATGCCAGGCTCCCATGCAGTCCCGTCCGGGCCAACAGGCAGGGGTCTGCTGGTGCAGCCCTCACCTCACCCAGGGCCCACCTGCTTTAGGGGAAAGGCCAGCCCTTCTGCATTATTCAAATTGCTAGAAACTTGGGAGAAAAACCCTCAATTCCTTCCTTTCTCTTATTCCCTTAAATTCCTCAGACTTCTCAGATCTCCTTGATCTCAGTCTTGGGTTCTTCCGCTGGCCCATCCCTTGGTTCAGACAACAGTGAAAAGCCGCCCACCTAGGGCGAGAGGAGCCTCCATTCATCGGCTCAGCGGGGCATCCTAACAACTCGAACCCCTGGCTCTGGGCAGGGGCAGCCTGGCCCTTCCGCGCCACCAAATCCTCAGCACGCTCATTTCACATTGCTTCCGGGGGAGGGGGGGCATTCTTTTCTTTTCCTCAGATGCCTTAGCTGCTCTTCTTTTGGCTCCCACCCCCCTCTCTGTTCCTCTGTTCTCTCTAGACAACCTCCTTCACCAAGCTCTTCCAGCGGCTCTACTCCACACCTACTGGGCGCTGGGCACTGCGGGAGGCACGGGAAACACAAAAATGAGGGGTGGGGTGCTGGGGACGCTCCCGAAGCACCTCAGCCTGTCCTCTGAAAGGCCTTTGGAAACTGTAAAGGGCCCAACCGTGTTGACTATTATTGCTGCTTCCTTCTAGGGAAAAACTGGGAAATCAGTCATTCCGTAGACTCAAAGGGACCCTTGGCCGTCGCGTTCATAGTCCGGCATCGGGGCGTGAGTGTACCCCGGTATACTCAGTATACATAAGCCGGGGGTAGGGCATACCCCTCCCTGACATCAGTTTTTCATTTTCTCACTCCAGAGGCCCTCTGACCCCTAACTGGAGGAGTTAGTAAATGAAACAGGCCAGGAAGGCTGCCTGGGACTAGGGCAGTGGGGGGAAGAGCTCTGGAGAGAATCTGTAGGTTCCAGAATGTGTTTCCATATCCTGGGCCCCCCTCCTCTCCACCACCCCAGCTTTCCCCCATCCTCACTAGCAGCAGGTCTGGACAGGCGAAGGGAAGAGAAGGAAAGTGATCTTCTCCCACCCTCACTTTCCCCCTAATCACTGAGACTGTTTCTGGCCCCTAGGCTCCCTTCACCACTCTTCTCCCGCCAGCCTGGTAAGGACACCAGCACCGACCCCGACACGCAGGTGTACCTACCCCCGAGAGCAGCCAGGATCCACGTCACCGGTAGCAGGAGCGTGAAGAGCATGATGGTATCCTCGGAAGGAGCACAAGGTACTGGGAGTTTGGAGGCTGGAGGACCAGATGGGAGAGAGGGAGGGAGAGAGAGAGTCCTGAAGGTGAATGGGTCTCTCGCTGTCTCTGTCTCTGAGCTTCCAGGGTGGTTGGAGCTCAGGAGGCCACAGTTGGTTTCGAGGTCCCCAGGACAAATCCCGCTGCCTTCCCTCCGGGCCCTCTCTCTTTTATCTCCCTCTGCAGTCTTCACTCTACTTGCTGGCCAGCGACTTCACAATTGCCTTCTGCTTTTAAGGTGGCTCTGGATGGGCATAGGTGGGGAGCTGGGCTGCCTGGGTTGCCAGCCAACAGCTCCTTAAATAGCCGATTAGGCATGCAGGATGGCCCCGCTCGGAGCCGGAGCCCGCTGAGTGCACCCTGGGTGCTCCCTGGGTTCCGCCGGAGACCTGGCCCCGGCTCAGGAGCCCAGCTGGGTGAGCTCTCCCCTCCTCCCTTTTCACACAGACACTGTTCGGATGGGTGTCCCCTGGAGGGGGAGAGGGGGGGGGCAGGGCAGGAGGGCTTCAGGGTTCAATCCAGCCCACTCAGGGGGACACCGGGTTCTCATTCCCCGGCTGGCTGCACCGAGGAGCAGCTCCCTGGGTGGTATGGGGCAGATGGGGGGAGGCCCTTTCCCAGTCTCCTGAGGAATTTGAACTGCGCTGGGATAGGAAGAGCCCAGAGTCAGAGACAGGTAGCCAGGAGGAGCTGGGAGACTCGGGGTAGGAAGTCAGGGACTAAAACCCGAGCTGTGGGGAATAAAGGAGAGAAGCGAGGCGAAGAGAACTTGTCCGGAGTGCCTGTCACCACCCCCTTCCCACGGTGAGGCTGGCTCCACGTGCCTGTGTGGCCTGGGTGGGGGCTGGGGGTTTTGTTTGTTGGATAAAGCCCATTTGTATGCCCAGCGGGGGAGGGGCCCGGGCAGCACCATGGGGAGACAGCGGCTCCAACTGCCAGGCCCAGGCACCTCCCTCCCCAGGGAGGCCAGATCTGGGGCAGGCTTTTGTCCCTGAAAGGACACTAACCCTGGCAGGGAGGCCAGGGCAGGAGGGAGACGGGGAGACCTTAGAACAATCCCTACCATCACCAAAAAAGGCGGGCTCCAGAGAAAGAGAGGGGAGGGAGCGCAGAGAGACCGTGTGATCCAGCTGGGAGAGGGGCCGGGGTCTTCCCTCCGGCGACAAAGGGCCGAGCGGGACACGTGGGGCCCAGGAAACCTGCCACCGGGCGCTGGGCGCTGGGCGAGGGGCTGTGTCAGGAATGTGGGCTGCTGCTTGCTCCCCCACGGGACTGGAAATCCTGGTCGGAATGTACACCCAAAGTCCTTCGTTAGAGAACGGGAAACCCTCAGATACTTTCTACCAGACGCTGCGATCTCTTTCTCCCTCTTACCCTTCCTCAGTCACCAGCCAGGAGGATGCTCCCCTCGGAGCTCCCTCTGCCCTCCCTCCTGCTCCTCTACGTAGAATAAACAGCCCAGACAAAGGGAGCGGAAGCTAAATGAGGGAGCGGGATGGAAGCCCAACAGAGTGAAGCTGTGCAGGATCAGCAGCACCTGCAGAGGCAGCAGCCCCCAGGCTTTCTGGATGGATCTGCAAAGCCAAGCCATTCTGCAGATGTCACTTCCTTTCTAATTCTCTCATTAGCCTCCATATGGTTTCTCCCTGACAGGACAGTTATTGTTGTTGGTAATCCTCACCCAAGGATATATTTTTCTATTGATTTTTTTTTTTTTTTTTTTTTAGAGGACGTGGAAGGGAGTGAGGGAGAGAGAGAGAGAAGCATTGATGTGAGAGAGACAATATGATTGGTTGCCTCCCACATGCCCCCCATGCCCTTCACAGAGAGTTGAATCCTCAATCCCTTGTGCATGGGCTGATGCTCTATCCATTGAGCAACACCAGCCAAGACACTTACAGGAAAGTTTTGTTTTGAGGTTCCCATAAAGTCTCCACACATCTCATCTGAGAAGAATGAAGTGTCCATTAGACTTCTTGGGAATGAGGATGGGTGTCACAGAGGACCAAGAAGGAAAAAAAGAAAAAGAAAAAGCAGAGCCCTGGCTGGTTTGGCCTGTGCACCGAAGGGTCTCGGATTCCATTCCCAGTCAAGGGCAGGTACTTGAGTTCAGATTCACTCTCTGCCCCTCTGGTCGGGGCGTGTGTGCGAGGCAACCAGTAGATGTGTCTCTCTCTCATTGATGTTTCTCTCTTCCTCCCTCTCCTCCCTCCCTCCCTTCCACTCTCTCTGAAAAGCAATGGAAAAAATATTTTCTGGTGAGGATTAACGAAAATAAAATAAAGTAAAGCAAAGAAAGCAGAGGCGTCTTTTGCTTGGCACTGAAGAAGGGGCCTGATCAGAATGACCTCAGAGTTCCTGGGGAGCGCCTGGGGCTATGGTTCCACCTCCGGAGGCAGATAGCGTGTCTTGCCAGGCGCCACCTCCTGGTTGTCTGTGAACTTTAAAAAAAAACAAACTTTAATTTTTAGAATTTTAATTTAAAATGTTTTGTGAGTGATTCCTTCTGGGAAGCGTTTCACTGCCGGTGGGCTTTTGTCTGCAAATTGAGCAGTGTTTCACAAAAAAGCCTTCGCCCCAGCTCAGCGTTTTCTCACTTCCGTGTGAGCAGTCAGAGAGGCCCTCGTGCTTCCCAACAGGACAAAGAGCCCGACTTCTGGAAGAGAGCAGCACCGTCTCCAGAGACTTGCCTTTATTTTGATCTTTGGCTCCCATGTAGATATTTCTGATTCACCAGGCTGCTTTGGGATAGATGGCAACAGAAGCCTTGTATGTTTAAGAAAAAAAACCTCACCCTAACGGGCTTGGCTCAGTGGATAGAGCATCCCAGGTTCGATTCCGGTCAAGGGCATGTACCTTGGTTGTGGGCACATCCCCAGTAGGGGGTGTGCATGGATGCTTCTCCCTCATCAATGTTTCTAACTCTCCCTCTCCCTTCTTCTCTGTAAAAAAAATCAATAAAATACCTTGTTTCCCCGAAAATAAGACAGTATCTTATATTATTTTTTGCTCCCAAAGATGCACTAGGTCTTATTTTCAGGGGTTGTCTTATTTTTCCATGAAGAAGAATATGGTACACATTTATTGTTAAATGAAAATAAAGGACATTTATTACCTGTATACGGTATGGTAGTATGGTAGTTGTCAACACAAACCAGACAAACTGAATCCTACAGTATCAAGAATTTACTCATTTATTCATCTTCTGGAACATCATCATAACAATCCAATTCCTGAATTTCCTGGTGAATTTCTTGTGACTCTATTTCTTTCAGAATCAGTGGACCAAATCTCTCATGTTTAGCAATAGCATTCTGAGATAGAGCCTGGGGAGGCCTTATTTTCGGGGGGATGCCTTATATTTCACTCAGAAGGAAACCTGTAAGTGGGTCTTAGTTTCGGAGGATGTCTTATTTTCAGGGAAACATGGTATGTTAAAGAAAAGAAAAAAGCCATCCCACTCCCACCCACCCTAACCCCCACCCCCTTAGTTGCTACTCAGACTCTGGCACCTTTGTCTTAATTCCACTTTTCCCTTTCTAGCCCTTGCCTTACACCGGGTTTGGCTGAAAAACCAAGGCACTCCGCTGCCTCTGGCGCCATCTCCTGACCTTTCAAAAGTAGTGACATGTGAACAGGTCAGAATCAAAGGCATCCAAGTGTGGCGAGTTTTTGGTTTGATTTTCCCTTTAAAAAAAAAAAAGGATATTTAAACTTACTAAATATCCCAACTAGTCTAAAACACCTTACAGGAACCCACCAGGTTCTCTGAGCATGTATGAAGAGTATGTGAGAGTTCAGAGAGGAAGGGAGGCAAATCAAAAGGAACTTCCTCAGGCAGTATTAATTTCTGAGCACAGAGAATCAATGCAGAGACAGAATTGGGTAGCATCTGATTTCCTAAAATGCAAGCAACTGTGTTCCGTCAAGTAATACAGATCCAGAAATGGTCCAACTTGATAGAAAATCACCTTTGTTATCACACCCTTGTCTTCTAACCCATTGGTACTGAAGCCCCTTAGGTGAACACAAGAGTTTCCAAGAATTAAAGTAATTTGGGGGAGGGGTGGGTCACGTTCTCAGTTTCCCAGTTCTCATGCAGGACAGAGACAGTATAAGAATCTTTTTAAAAAAATAAATCTTTATTATTCATATTATTACAAATGTTCCTCATTTTCCCCTCTCTCCATTGCTCCCCTCCACCAGGTTCCCATTCCACCCTCTGCCCTTTCCCCATCCTCCATTGTCCTCATCCATAGGTGCACAGTTTATGTTCAGTCTCTTCCCACATCCCCCACTCCCCTTTTCCCTGAGAACCATCAGTCCACTCCCCTTCCATACCTCTGATTCTATTATATTCACCAGTTAATATTGTTCATCATGTTTTTTACTTCCCTTGGTTTTTAGATTCACTTGTTGATAGTTATGTATTTTTTGTTCATAATTTTTATCTTTATTTTCTTTCTCTTCTGAAAGAACCCCTTTAAGCAATTCATATAATTCTGGTTTGGTGGTGATGAACTCCTTTAGCTTATTTATTTATTTATTTATTTGTGAAGCTCTTTATCTGGCCTTCAATTCTGCGTGATAGCTTTGCTGAGTAGAATATTTTTGGCTGTAGGTTTCTTGCCATTCCCATCTGATCTGCATGGTTTCTGTTGAGAAATTAGCTGACAATCGTATGGGTGCGTCTTTATAGGTAACTACCTGCTTTTCTCTTGCTGCTTTTAATCTCTCTTTGTCTTTTGCTCTTGGAATTTTAATTATGATGTGTCTTGGTGTGGTCCTCTTTGGATTCCTTTTGTTTGGGGTTCTGTGCACTTCCTGGACTTGTACGTCTATTTCTTTCACCAGGTGGGGGAAGTTTTCTGTCACTATTTCTTTCAATATGTTTTTGGTATCTTGCTCTCTGTCATCTTCTGGGACGCCCATAATTCTGATGCTGGTTCACTTGAA